GATTCCTGAGCACAGAGATGGGAGCATAGCTAAGTGTGGCCCAAAAGTTACAAAAAGAAAAAGAAAATGATAATCAGGATCTTGATAAAAGAGTGTATATGCCATAATTTAACAAGAATCTAGAAACACTATAAAGTTCGCTTAAAACTTTTTCCTCAAATCTGTTGGTTTTTATAGTATCAATAGCAGTGATTTTCCTTCAAATGGATTAAAGATTACATACAAATTTCTTCATTTTGTCAAATATTGAGCCTTACAAGGAAGTAACCTCAAAATCACTCTTAAACACATGTGACGAATGCATCCTGAATCTTCAAAGTAATTAAATTTAAATTAGATTATATACAAGATATAATAGAAAGTTAAACAAAAGAATATTAGCTCTTTAAACAAAGAGCTATGTCTGACCTTTGCAGGAAAATTAACTTTATTTCCTTTATTTCAAGGTTGCAAGTAACTGACTATAGGTATTTGGTATAAACTGTTCATTGTTATCACTAACATTAGTAAAAGATTTACCAAAAAGTTATCTTATATAATTAAACTTCACTTTTTAAAACAGAACATATTTAAATTTTTTGTTTAGTTTTAATTATTTTGGGGAAGTTTGTGGGCCACATCCAGTAGTGCTCTCAGGGCTTACTTCTAGCTCTACCCTCAGGGATCACTTCTGGAGGTGCTTCGGGGGGATCATCTGAGGTTCTGGAGTTCAAATCCAGATTAGACAGATTCAAGGCAAATACCCTACCTGCTGCACTATTGCTCTATTCCCAAGTCTCTTATTTTTTAATTTTAGAAAAAATAATTTGCTAAAACTAGAAGATATATAACAAAATAGCTTTCAGTTACAATATATTAAAATTATATTAAAGAAACAAAAACAATTGGTAGGTAATTAAATGTCAGGGATGGTATAAATTGAATGAATTCGGGGCTCCAATAATTCGCTTTCATTTTTATGGTTCTTGGGGCTAGAGTGATAGTACAGTGGTGTTGCCTTTCATGTGGCCAATCTGGTTGGATCTCCAGTAACCATATGGTCCCATGAGCACTGCCAGAAGTAATTCCTGAGTGCAGAGTTATGAGTAAACCCTGAGTATTGCCGGGTGTGGCGCCAAAACCATAATACATAAATAAATAAATATAAAAATAAATAAATATTTATCATTCTTGGAGTCAAGATACTGCTCTGTACATCAGGCTAGATTTACAAGTTTGAAAATACTTTTCTTCTTAGCGCAGCGGTAGGGCATTTGCCTTGCACGCAGCCAACATGGACGACCTGAGTTCGATTCCTCCGCCCCTTTTGGAGAGCCTGGCAAGCTACTGAGAGTATCTCGCCCGCACGGCAGAGCCTGGCAGGCTACCCATGACGTACTGGATATGCCAAACACAGTAACAACAAGTCTCATGATGGAGACGTTACTGGACCCGCTCGAGCAAATCGATGAACAACGGGAGGACCGTGACCGTGAGTAACAATTTTAAGGGTTTTTTTTTATATAAATTTATAGCAAGAAGAATGATTCATTGCAAACATCTGTAAAAGCTATTTGCTTTTTGTCATTTTGATTTATAAATCTGCAAAATTTGAGCCCTGAACAACCCCGATATCTACTTAGTCTCTTATAACTGTATAAATTATAAGGCATGAGACTGGAGTGATAATACAGTGGGGTGCTTGCCTTGCATGGGACCCACCTGGGTTCAATACTCAGTATTCGTTTTGTACTATGAGCACTTTGTACTATCCATTGTACTATCTACCCACTGTACTATCCTACTGTATTATCTCCCCTCATCACTCTTGGTGAGAATGTCAACTGCTTCAACTCCTTTGAAAAAAATATGGACACCACAAAAAACTAAAACTTGAGCTTTCATAACAACTCAGCATTTCCACTTGTCAACATCCAGTCCAAGGACCCAAAAACACTACTTTGAAAAGACATTTGTATTTCTATGTTCACTGCATCACTATTCAAAATAGTCCATATCTGGAAACAACCCAAGTTTCCAAGAGTAGGTGACTGAATAAAGGAATACAATGGAATATTACTCAACTATAAGAGAAGATGAAGTGATGCAATTTACCACTGTGTGGGAGGAACTAAAGGGTATCAGTCCAAGTGGAGTCAATCAGAAGGAGAGGACAGCTACAGAATGATTTCTTGTATGTGAGAAATAAAGAAACAATAAGGGAACAATAAGTGACCAACTGACGAGCTGGTCTAAAGGACTGAGCTTACTGGGAATTGGGTAATGGCAAGGAGGGGATGTTGGAACAATATATGCATGAAACTATTATCAATGGTATTGTAAATCATGGCACCTCAATAAAAACGGGGAAAAAAGAAATATTGTATTATTGGTGTGTAAACAGTGAGTGCCATGGTTGATTGTTTGATCACCATAACCTGATATGGAACTCTTGGCAAGCATCACAGTGAGGTGTGTGTGCAACCCCCTATTATCACAACAATGAAGGATAAGGGGAATTGGAGGAGGAATACTTTTTAAGAGGAGAAATTGGGGATAGAGAGACAGTACTGTGGGTAAGGTGCTTTTCTTCCACTTGTTCGACCCAGGTTCAATCCCCAGTATCCCATATGATCCTCTGATCCCTATCCTCCCCACCCCAATACACACATATAAACAAGTAGAAATCACAGCATTTTAAAAAAGAGACACTGTGTGTCTCACTGCAATTCAGTTAAAAAATGGGAAAGAAAGAAAAGAACAAAAAATAAATGCTGCATCATTGACATTCGGGATGAAGCAGAGGTGGCACAGACTGTGGGAAATAAGTTATAGAAAAGCTTTGTGTAAAAACTTAATTATAAGTATCTTTATTTAATTTTAATTAATAATGATATATTTTTATAATCCTTGACTTAAATAATGTTGATAAAATACAACAGCTACTAATTCAGGTGTCCTGTATTAGTGCTTATGATGTGTTGGCCAGACATCATACAATGGGTCTTTATAAATGATCTCAGTTTAATCTTCTCTGGTACTCTGCCAGATTGCTTATTTTATAATCCATATTTTACAAGGAAGAAATTGGAGCCCAGAGAAGCCAAGCCAATGTCTCTAATCCTGGAAAGGAGGCAGGGTTCAAGCACAGGCAGGTTATGGCCAGAACAAAGGTGCTTTTCTTTCTTTTTTGGGTCACACCTGGTGATGCTCAGGGGTTTCTCCTGGTTCTGCACTCAGGAATTACTCCTGGAGGTGCAAAGCAAAGGTTTTAAAACTACACTGAACTGTTTCCTTTTAGTATTAACCCTATTTTTGGCACATAGCATAGGTAAATTTTATTAATTATTTTTCCAAAAATTTTATTTAGGCACCATGATTTACAATACTGCAAATAATAGGTTCAGAGACTGGAGAGCTAATACAGAGATTAAGGTGCTTGACTAGCATGAAACAGACCCAGATTCCATCCGTGGCACCCTTTATGGTCAGTTGAACATAGCCAAATGTGATCTTTGAGTGCAGAGCCAGGAGCAAGTCATGAGTACGTCCAGGTGTGACCCCATCACTCCAAAATAACACCCAGAGTTTCAGGCATACAATGTTCCAACTCCATATCAACCATCAGTATCAGTGTACCTTTCTTTCTTTTTTTTTTTAATAGTTTATTTCTTTATTGAATCACTGTGGGAAAAGTTACAGAGCTTTCGGGTTTAGGTCTCAGTCATGTAAGTATCAAACACATTTCCCTTTACCAATACTTCTTTTTAACCGTGAACCCCAATAGAACCTCACCTCCCACTCCTCCCAATTCCTGTGAGGCAAATGAGTTCTAGTTAATACTCTATCTACTTTGACTAGATACATTGTTTCGATAGAAGTTACACAATTATTGTTTAGAGTTTACGACCCCCCCCCCCCCAATCAGATATGCTGAAACAGTGTTGTGAAATGATTTGCTTTCTACAGCTTGGTTTAAGAATAAAATGATGTCGCGCGGCCACAATAGCGGCCGCGCGGTTTTGGATTTCTGCTGTTTCACTTATTAACCCTGGAAGTATTTCTATTAAAAGTTAGATAGTTAAGAGATTGGTTTCTATGCTCTGGAGTCGTGGCCGTGCCGGAGAGCCGCTCGTGGGGGGCAGCCGGTGACCTCGGTCGGGCGTGAAGGACGGCCCAGAACGCCCCCCTTCCCATGAGGCCCCCGCTGCCCCCCGCCCCCGGCTCAAACCTGCTGTCCACAAGTCTCCCATGCGGCCGCCATCTTTCTTTCCAGAGAGGAGCAGGCGAGCGGGACAACACCCTTTCCCCTCCGGGCAGGCTTGGTGGTGCGGTAGTGTACCTTTCAGTGTCTCAAGGACCCATCCCCCTTTCCCTTGGCAAACTTTATTTATTTATTTTATGCTTTTTGGGTCACACCCGGCAATGCACAGGGGTTACTCCTGGCTCTACACTCAGGAATTACCCCTGGCAGTGCTTGGGGGACTATATGGGATGCTGGAAATCAAACCTGGGTCGGCCGTGTGCAAGGCAAACGCCCTACCCGCTGTGCTATCGCTCCAGCCGACCCTTGGTGGGCTTTAAACAATTAATGCTTTCACCTTCCCCAACTTCAAACAGTACTACAAAGCAGTAATAATTAAAACAACACGGTATAGGAATAAAGACAGATTCGCAGACCAAAGGAATAGAGTTGACTATCCTACCACAGACCCTAAATATATGATCACCTAATCTTTGATAAGGAAGCAAGAAATATGAAGTGGAGCAAAGAAAGCCTCTTTAACAAGTGGTGCTGGGAAAGCTGGACAGCTACATGTAAAAAAAAATGAACTCTGACCTCTACCTAATGCCTTGCACAAGAGTCGGATGAAAATGAATTAAAGACCTCAACATCAGACCTGAATCCATAAGGTACATAGTAGAAAACATAGGCAAAACCCTCCATGGCATTGAAGCTCAAGGCATCTTTAAAGGTGAAACACCAAGCAAGTGGAAGCAAAAATTAACAAATGGGGGCGAGGGTCGGCAGGCGCCATGTCCAGCCATGAAGGTGGCAAAAAGAAGCCCCTGAAGCAGCCCAAAAAACAGGCCATGGAAATGGACGAGGAAGACAAGGCATTCAAGCAGAAAGAGAAGGAGGAGCAGAAGAAACTCGAGGAACTAAAAGCCAAGGCCACGGGGAAGGGCCCCCTGGCCACTGGTGGAATTAAGAAATCTGGCAAAAAGTAAGCTGTTCCTTGTGCTGGAGATAATGGTGATCTTTAATTTCTATTACTGGCTAAACATCTGGATTTCCTGCATAACCTCTGTTGCCAGGAGTACCTAGAATGAAGTGTTTTGGAATCTGTTGTACACTTAAGAATAAATTTCTGTAAAAAAAATAAAAAAGAAAGAAGAAAAAGAATTCATAAGGTTGCTTATTCTCTGGTTCTCAGCTATTTTTTTCTCTTTTTTTTCTTTTTGGGTCACACCCGGCAATGCTCAGGGGTTACTCCTGACTTTGCGCTCAGGAATTATTCCTGGTGGTGCTCAGGGGACCATATGGGATAAACTATTCACCCAATACCCACCTGATTAGGGGTTAATATCAAAGATATAAAAGGCACTGCTAGAACTTTACAAGAAAAAACATTCAACCTCATCAAAAAATGGGAAGAAAAAATGAACAGAAACTTCTCAAAGTAATTTTTGGAAAAATAATTAATAAAAATTACCTATGCCATGTGCCAAAAATAGGGTTAATACTAAAAGGAAACAGTTCAGTGTAGTTTTAAAACCTTTGCTCTGCACTCCAGGAGTAATTCCTGAGTGCAGAGCCAGGAGTAACCCCTGTGCATCGCCAAGTGTGACCCAAAAAGCAAAAAAAATTCTCTACATCATTTATGATCAGGGAGATGGAAATCAAAACAACAAAGATAGCATCTCACACCGCAGAGAGTGGCACACATCCAAATGAACAAGAATAACCAGGGCTGGCATGGATGGGGGAGAAAGAGGCCCACATTCATTACTGGTGGGAATTCTGACTGGCCCAGCCTTTTTTGAAAACAGTATGAACATTTCTTAAAGACCTAGAAATTGAGCTCCCATTTGACCCAGCTAGGGTTCAAAATCACATAGCAGAAACAACACCTGCATTTTTTTAAATTTTAAATTTATTTATTTATTTATTTAAAAAAATTTTATTAGTGAAACACCATGAGGTACAGTTGTAGACTTATAAATTTTTGTGTTTGTGTTTCAATTATACAATGATCAAGTACCCATCCCTCCACCAGTGCCCATTTTCCACCACCACGGGTCCTAGTATCCCTCCCATCCCCTATGCCCCCCCCATCCGACCCTGCCTCTATGGCAGGGCATTTCCTTTTGTTCTCTCTCTCCTTTTGGGTGCTGTGGTTTGCAAAAGAGGCATTGAATAGCAATCATATTTGGTCTATAGTCTACTTTCAGCATGCTTCTCCCATCCTGGGAGGAACCACCTGCACTTCTTTGTTCACTGCAGCATTATTCAAAATAGCCAGAATCTGGAAACAACTCGAGTGCCCGAGAAAAGACATATGGATGAAGAAACTATGGTACATCTACACAATGGAATACTACACAGCTGTTAGAAAAAAAATGAAATCATGAAATTTGCCTATAAATGGATGGACCTGGGGAGTATCATGTTGAGTAAGATGAGTCAGAAGGAGATGGTCAGATACAGAATGACGGGATTTATTTGTGGGATATAAAAACCAGTATAAAACTAATATCCAAAGCCAGTGAAAACAGGTCAGGAGGACTAGTCAATGGCTGGAAAAGCACCACAAGGGTGTAGGGGGTGTAGTTAAGATAGAGAAGGGTCCATTATGACAACATTGGTTGAAAATGAACACTCTGGACAGGAACTGAGTGTTGAAAGTATGTAGAGGGATACTCATCCAAACCATAATACTTCAAATGAGTGAGAGAGAGAGAGAGAGAGAGAGAGAGAGAGAGAGAGAGAGAGAGAGAAGAGCTGCCTGCCATAGAGACAGGCGGGGGTGGGGGTGGGGTTTGAAGGGGTGGGAGGGAAATTGGGGGCACTGGTGCTGGGAAATTACACTGGTAGAGGAATGGGTGTTGGAGCATTGTATGACTGAAATCCAATCATGAATAGCTTTGTAAAAATAAATAAATTCAGGTTTAAATTATATAATATTGACATTTTTCTTTTTTAGTGATGAAAAATAGTTTTATTTAGAAAAATGTGAGGAGAGAGAGAGAGAGAGAGATACATATTAAAGAGAGAACATGGACTTTTCCAGAGGGGAAAAGGCTGAGAGAGTACATTTTGCATTGAGATGAGAATCTTCAGGGTGGAGAATGTGTTAAAATTTAAACTTTATTTTCTAGTGTTTAACCAACCCCAACAGTACTGAGGGCTTCTTCCAGGTTCTGTGCTCAGGGATCACTCCTGGTAGTGATTGGGGACCATATGCAGTGCTGGGGATCAACCCAGTTAGGTACGTAGTAGGTAAGCATTTTAACTCCTGTACTATTTTCCTGGCTCCATGGAAATTCTTATGTTTTTTTCTAGCCCATCTGGACTTTCATAATTATTAAGTCAAGAATCTTTTTTCTGGGGGCTGGAGTGATAGCACAGTGGGTGGGGCATTTGCCTTGCACGCGGCAGACAGTGTTCGATTCCCAGCATCCCATATGGTTCCCCGAGCACCACCAGAAGTAACTCCTGAGTGCAGAGCCATCAGTAACCCCTGTTCATTTGGGTGTGACCCAAAAAGCAAAATAAAAAAAAGAAAGAAAAGAAATTTTTTTTCTCACATTTTATTTTCAATCTCCTTTGTGAACATTTAATGATTAATAAATGCCACAAGACAGCATAGATTTTTATTTTATTTTATTATTATTATTATTTTTATTTTTATTTATTTATTTTTTTACAGTTGTAGATTTACAATTTTTTTTGTGCTTGGGTTTCAATTATACAATGATCAGATACCCATCCCTCCACCAGTGCCCGTTTTTCACCACCATGGATAATATCCCTCCCACCCCCATCCCCCCATTATTATTTTTTTTTTAATTAGTGAAACACCATGAGGTACGTACAGTTGTAGACTTACAAACTTTCGTGCTTGGGTTTCAGTTATACAATGATAAAGTACTCATCCTTCCACCAGTGCCCGTTCTCTACCACCAATGAACCCAGTAGCCCTCCGAACCCCCTAGGCCCCCCACCCTGCCTCATCTCTGTGGAAGGGCATTCCCTTTTGTTCTCTTTTTCCTTTAGGGTGTTGGTTGTGTTTTGCAATAGAGGTATTGAGTGGCCATCGTGTTCGGTCTGTAGTCTACTTTCAGCACTCATCTTGCACCCCGAGTGAATCCTCCAAACACCCTTTACTTGGTGTTCCCTTCTCTATCTGAGCTGCCTTTCCCCCCAGCATGTGCTGCCAGCTTCCAAGCCGTGGAGCAGACCTCCTGGTACTTATCTCAACTATTCTTGGGTGTTCATCTCCCATTCTGTTACTCTATATTCCCCAGATGAGTGCAGTCTTTCCATGTCTGTCCCTCTCTTTCTGACTCATTTCACTTAGGATAATACTTTCCATGTAGAACCACTTGTTTGCAAATTTCATGACTTCATCATTTCTAACATCTGCATAGTATTCCATTGTGTAGATGTACCAAAGTTTCTTTAACCAGTCATCTGTTCTTGGGCATTCGGGTTTTTTCTAGAGTTTGGCTATTATGAACAGTGCAGCAATGAACATACAAGTGCAGATGTCATTTCTACTAATTTTTTTTGCCTTTCTGGGATATATTCCCAGAAGTGGTATTCTTGGTTAAACGGGAGCTCAATTCTAATTTTTTTGAGAAGCATCCATACTGTTTTCCAAAAGGGCTGAACCAGTCGGCTCTCCCACCAGCAGTGAAGAAGAGTCTCTTTCTTGCCACATCCGTGCCAACACCGGTTGCTTTTGTTCTTTTGGATGTGGGCCAGTCTCTGTGGTGTGAGATCATATCTCATTGTTGTTTTGATCTGCATCCCCTTGATGATTAGTGACATAGAGCATTTTCTCATGTGCCTTTTAGCCATTCGGATTTCTTCTTTGACAAAGTTTCTGTTCATTTCATCACCCCATTTTTTTGATGGGGTTGGATATTTTCTTCTTGTGGAGTTCAACCAGTGCTTTTTATATCTTTGATATCAACCCCTTATTGGACGGGTATTGGGTGAATATCCTTTCCCATTCTGTAGATTGTCTTTTTATTTTGGTCACTGTACCTTTTGTGGTGCAGAAGCTTCTTAGTTTTAATATAGTCCCATTTGTTTATCTCTGTTTCCACTTGGCTGGTCAGTGGCATGTCATCTTTGAAGATACTGTTAGCCTCAATATTGTGGAGGGTTTTGCCGACCTTGTCTTCAATTATGGATTCTGGTCTGATGTCGAAGTCTTTAATCCATTTTGATTAGCTTTTGTACACGGTGTTAAGTTGAGGTCTAAGCCCATTTTTTTGCACGTGGTTGTCCAGTTATGCCAGCACCATTTGTTAAAGAGCCTTTCCTTGCTACACTTCACATTTTTTGCTCCCATATCAAAGATTAGATGTTTATACATTTGGGGTTGTGTGTAGGGATATTCCACCCTGTTCCATTGGTCTGTGGCTCTGCCTAAAACAGCATAGATTTTACTTACTGAATTTAGATTTAGTCTTAGATTACAATCTTCACATCAAGGAAGGATAGCTGACATCAGGGACAATTTGGTTGCAAATGAAACTTTGTTCTTTTTGGTAATCCAGTGTCCAAGTCTTTCCTTCTGGACACTTCCTCAGTTTATGGGAGATTTTGGGGGCAACTGTGTTATGCTCCCTCCTTGTTTGCCTTGGAAGAGAGTTCTATCTCTACCTTGTCCTAATCTTAAACCTGAACACTAATTTTTTTTTTTAAATTAGTGAATCACTGAAAGGTACAGTTACAGGCTTACAAACTTTTGTGCTTGCATTTCAGTCATACAATGATCGAGTACCCGTCCCCCCACCAGTGCCCATTTCCCACCACCAATGGACCCAGTATCCCTCCCGCCACCCCCACCCTGTTCCCTCCACCCCACCCTGCCTTGCATCTGTGGCAGGGCATTTTCTCTTGCTCTCTCTTTTCGGGTATTGTGGTTTGCAATAGAGGTATTAAGTGGCCATCATGTTTGGTCTGTAGTCTACTTTCAGCACCTATCTCCTACCCCGAGCGGGTCCTCCTAGTACCCTTTAGTTGGTGGTCCCTTCTCTATCTGAGCTGCCTTTTCCCCAGCATGTGAGGCCAGCTTCTAAGCTGTGGAGTGGTCCTTCTGGCAACTTTTAACCCCTAATCCTAACACTAAACTCTAACCTTAATCCTAACACTTTAAATCCTATTTTTAAACCA